AATTACTTGTCCTTTGTAGCTCTTAGTAAATTTTGTCATTTCTCCTTGTCTCTGTTCTGCCATCCATTTACACATGCTCTATGTGGATTATGCACGGTTTTCCTGTCCCTCTTGCCTACAACATGTCCTCAAAGTGTCAAATTTTCCAAGCCCTCTTTCCTCATTAAGTGCCCTAGAAATTTCAATTGTCTTTCTGATGTTAAGTATAAGTGTTCTTTTTTTTTTCCATGTGAGCAACAACAAAGTTTTAAATAAAATGTAAATAAAAATTAAAGATCACAAAGAAAAAAATTAAAACTTTTTCTTTCTCGACAGTAATTTTTAGTGATAAATTTAGAGCTACATTGGATGGACACAAATGCTAGAGCTTGCATTCTTCAGGGAAGTAGTCAACTAACATAACTTAGAAGACAGACAGGGAAGATAAAGTTATACTTTGGGCTACTATTTTAGACAATACAATTATAGGCTCCTTCAAAGTTGATGGTGGTATTAATATAAATACAGGGAATTATTCAAGTTCATAGATGTGGGTTTTTGTTTTTTTTTTTGGTTGTACAGGTTGCAGCCAAAAAGTTTTAAGCTAAAGAGCATATTCAAGTAAGACAATGTTCCTTCACATTCTGAAAAAACCCAAAGAAAGTTTCAAAAACACTAAATTTATAGAATGGCTCCCGGATTCTCCAGGTATTGATTCAATAGAAAATTTGTGGCCAATAATTAAAAAAAACTCATATGAGAATGAAAAGCAATATTCAACTAAATATCATTGGGAAGTAAAAAAAGCTGCTGCAGATAATGTTGAAGTTGCAAAAAAATAGAAAAGTTAAAATCAATATGTTAGAGATCGATGACATAGGATGTCAAGGAGACCATATTAACATGTAAAATAAAATAATTTGTGTTAATCTAATGTTTCTATGACCTATATCTTTTGAATTTATTTGTAAATAAAAAAGTATGTTGCCTTTCATTTGCATAATACAAGTTGACATCTCAAAAACAAGATTAAAAATAAATTTAATAACGACAGACAGAGATATTATGAACTGAAACTCACAATATATTGTTCACATATCCTGAAAATTTTACCAACATCATTTGGTGATACACATTTTTCTGTGAAAACATTGACTTGCATAATAAAATTTGACATAATGAATGAATATTACACACACACACACAATGTTCCCAGCTCAACCAAGAAAATCCTTCAAAAGAAAAAGAAATATATACAAAGATATACTTTAGATGAGACGTACAAGAATTACAGGATGTAATACATTCTTGAGGGATGATGAAAAACACACTGGCCAAAATGTGATAAAAACAAAGTGAAATTATTCTACACTGTATTAAGATAAGTTTTTAGGAAATTTCTTTTCTTTTTAGAATTGCTTGTTTCAATTTAGTTTTTGGAATCCTAGAGAGAAGCCTGGTAGGTGCATCTTTGGTAACAATGGAAACAGAAATCATTACATTAATGAATGTGGAGAGCATTAGTATTTGGCAGGGGAATTTGAAATATAGGCCTAAACTGCATATCAGAATAGGAAGGGAACTTTCAGTTTTTTCTCTTTTTTGTTTTTGTTACTTTCTTTCACACAAAAATATACTTCTCAAATTTAAGTGATTTTATTCTTATTTTAATGAGTATTTACAAAGTAACTGCCCAATTATATATATGGTGGGTGTGAAATGAAGAAGAGAAAATAGAAATTTCAAGGAAGACCTGAAAATAATTGGATGGGAGGGGGAATGGTTAGACCTGGTAGAATGTAACCTAAAAAAAAATAAAAAAAAAAATAATATCATTTAGCGTTTTGTGAATTTATTGCTGTGCTTGTGTTAAATATGATTTTTTTAGCCAGATTAATTCCAATCTCAAATTGTGCTAAGAATCATTTCTTTTTGCTTTGATAGACACAACCAAGAGTGTCTTTTCGTTCAGTTTTAGCAGGTCTTCAAGCACTGATAGAAAAACTATTAAATAAAGATCCAAGGTAGCTAAGTCAGATAGGGTCAGTGTTAATGTTTCAATACCACAATTCATTAATAAAAAGGTTAATTTGTGCCTTAAATTAATTCTATGGAACAATTTATAAAAATATTTTTTTGTGAAAAATAATATTTCTTGCTATAATACATTGGTTAGTGTGAACATGAGAGATGGTTAGAATTGCTCACTTAGACATTTTCTTTTAAGAAGGTCAGTTGAGAATTGTCAAAAAATATCTTTTAAATTATATATATATATATATATATATATATATATATATATATATACACTGTTTATAACTTATTTTTATAGATATAATTTGAGTAAATGCTCTGTTTTTTAATTAAACAGTATTAATTACATTTACCAGCCTGAATGTTTGAGAAATTGTGTAGAAAATATGTGCTCTCTGACAGGAATTGAACCTGTAACCCTTATGGGAACAGTTATATAACCTGACATGTTGTTACCATTCAGCCACAGAGAAGTTCTGGTTAGCAAAGTCCAAATTACTGTTTATAAAAACACACCTTTAATAATTTTTCTCAATCAATGACTGCTCACAAAACATATCTTAATGTAAACTACGTGTCAGGCTCTCTCTCTCTCTCTCTCTCTATATATATATATATATATATATATATATAATGGTTCCTGTAAGGGTTACAGGTTCCATTCCTATCAGAGTGCACTTTTTTTTTTAACAAAATTTCTGAAACATTCAGGCCAGTAAGTGTAATTAATGCTGTTTAATTAAAAAATAGTGCAACTCATTTTCACTATATATATTTGTAAAAATTCAGATATAGATAAAATATATCCTTAAGACAATATAAATAAAAAAGAAAAATTTTCCTTTTGACTTTTCATTTTATATATATATATATATATATATATATATATATATATATATATATATATATATATATAAGGTTGGTTGATGGTTTCAGGCCTGCTCAGGCACATTAGCATTTCTTCAACACCCATTGATCTAATCTGTGGTTTATACTGCAACTATGCTGAGCAGACCATAGCTTGTTCCAGGTAGAAAGCAGATCATCTGACATGATCAGTAGTTGAACAATACTAGTATGAGCAAACCCTCAGTCACAATGACTTTCTTCTTCATGCTAACACAACAATTAACAGCTTCCAAACAGTTTTATCTACCTAATTTCCCCTCACAACACTTTGGTTACTTTCCAATGGTGCCATGACAGACCAATATTATCCAGAAGTCACCTCCTTGACAAATCAGTTATGATGAGATTTGAACCAAAGTTTCAGGACTGAAATGCTAACAAATTAGTCATATGTCCACTATACATTATATTTCTTATTACTTCAAATGTGATATTTAGTGTGTTTTAGAAGAAATCCTTGTCCTTTAAACAGTGTCAATATACATCATTTACCAAAGTCTGTGTGTGTGTATATATATATATATATATATATATATATATATATATATATATACATATATACATACACACACACACACACACACACATACATACATACACACATACATACATTTTGTATCAACATTAATGTTTGGTAAATTTCAGGGGTTTATAACATGATTGACAAAACACTATAAAATGTAAATATTATGAATAAAGCAATTCCATCTTCAACATGTCACTTGTATATTTGGTGGTTTAAAATATTTCTGGATGTTTTTCCATTATACAAACAAAATTTATACAATATTACAATGACTATTTCATCAATAGTTACTGCTAATTCCTAGGATTTGTCAAATTTTTACAGTAACAAGATGGTTACACCAGTCTTTTCCAAAACACAACCTCAAAAATTCCCTCCTCTCCATCAAATTATCTTCAAATTTTGAAAATATAAAATTTATTTTTAATTAAATATAAAGTTTTAAAAATTAAAACTGTTCTTTACACCAGAATATTAATCTTATTACAGTTTTTTTTAATATTTTCAGTCATTTGCACCAAATTAAATTTTTAATTTTAACTTTCAAATTTTATTCTTTATAAACACGTATTTTTTTTGTTTTTTTTTTTTATTAGACAAAGGTTGAATTTCTTCATTGTTTAAAACTTGCATTACAGAAGAATTTAAAGAGAACATTTTTTTAACACTCACTATTCCTACTGTATTTTCCATGGGTGAAATTCTTTGCAGCAAAAATGGTAGAATTATATGAAGCAAATGACCTCTTACTAGGCTACAACAATGAAATAAACAGAAATGAATATTTCAATGATTTTAGAAACTTGCATTAATAGTGAGAATCCAGTTGTTTGATTTCATTTCTTAATAGAATTAATAATGAGAATCAAGCTCTACTGTGATATCTAAAGCTTCTTATTTCTTCAATGATAAGACTTATGTACAATCACACACCAGAATCTTTCTTCCTTCCACTCTTCTCCCCATTCCTGAATAAACTTCTTTTCTGAATAATAGAACATCTATAGAAAAAATATAATTATTCCATTTTTGTTGTTGGATTTTACAAGATCTGTTTGTGTTTTTTTTATTTAATTCATTTTATCAGAAATATTAGGATTTTTTGTAAGATTAATAGAATTTAATCATCATTTTTGTTTTATAATCTTAATATACAAACTGAAAAATATGTGAACAGGTGGTACAACTTCTCTGCTCATGGGTTGGGTCATATATGACAAAGAAAGGGTGATAGTAGGTGGGTGAGGAAAGTGGTTCTGCTTGGTGGAAAAGGATGGGTCAATAGGTTGTTGATGGAGGCTGGAGGTGGATTGAATCAGCAATGTTTTCCTTCCCCCCTCTCTAGTTTCTTAGAACTTTTTTTTCTCAAATTTATATTATTGAAGATTTAGACAAAGTAGTTTAAATGACAATGTGTCACAGATAAAAGGGGTGATTGGCAGGGCAAGGAGTCAGGGAATTTAAGTTTATTTTCCACCTCCAGAAAACTATGGCAAACTCCAATGAACAATAAAATAATGAATAATTCTTTTTGAATGAGTCAGTGCATGTGTCAGAGAGAGGGGGGAGAGGGGGGAGAAGGGGAGAGAGAAGGGGGAGAGAGAGGGAGAGAATGAGGGGAGAGAAGGAGGGGAGAGAGAATGAGGGGAGAGAGAATGAGGGAGAGAGAGAAGAGGGGGGGGAGAGAATGGGAGAGGGGGAGAGAGGGGAGAGGGGAGAGAGAGAGGGGAGAGAGAGGGGAGAGAGGGGGAGAGAGAGGGGGGGAGAGAGGGGAGAGAGTGGGGGAGAGGGGGGAGAGAGGGGGGAAAAGAAGGTGGCAGAGAGAGAGGGGAAATAGGGTGGTGAAGAGAGAGAGGGGGAAAGAGGGTGATGGGGGAGGGGGTGACAAGGAGAGGGGGGGAAAGAAGTTGACGGAGAGAGAGAAAGAGGGTGACAGAGAGAGGAAAGTGTGTCTCTGAAGCTTTATAGCTGTTTTAGAAAATGTGTTAAGTAGAAATGACCATTTTTGACCACATGACTGTTACAATATGAATCATACTTCATGTTATTTGTAAATTTATTTCAATCAGACATAAAAGTAAGAGAATTTTGACAATTCCTGAATCTTCGTTTGGGATGGCTCACATATAGCAATGTGGTAATTTGTACATTTTTTTTTTTAAAACATTGATTCAGGAAGCCAAAGAAAACCCTTGGAAAATGGGACCACATTGTACAAATATAAATTGTGCACAGGGCCCTCTTATTTTTTATTATTTTTGTTTTTAAAGTGGTAACCTTAAATAACCAACATTTTATGCATGTACAAAGGTGGGGGTAAGAGGTAAGAATGTGAGGAGTGGGAGCAGAGCAGGCAACCGGGGAGATCAGTCGTTAGCTTTTTTCCTGGCCGGACGGAAAATATAGCCAACAATAAAGAAAACCACAATGGTTACGTGTCCAAGAAAGTAGATGGAGGCCCAGTAGCGAATGGTTTCTTTCCATGAGAGCAGGAGGAAACCCATGCAGTTGTAATCAAAACCTCGCATCCGGAAAAACCAGCATAGAAAGTCGAAAATCTTTTGTTTTATTGTTGGCTGTTCATCCCTGAACGCGTTGATCATGGCCCTCTCGGCCATCAAGATAGGAGGAACTGTCAGGAAACTCATGTAGTAACCAGGGTCCACACCGTGCCAGTAGGCACTCACTCCCATTGTTAGGGACACCCTGAGAGGACAAAGAAAACAATTTAAAAAGTGTTAAAAAAAAATAAATAAATTATATATATTTTAAATACAATGGAAAATAAAAAGAAATACAAGTGACAAAATTTTTACAAGTTTCTGATTAAGCTTTTCAGGACTACATTTTTGTTCATTTGTATCTTGATCATATTTTTTCTATCTGATATCCATCAATACATTCTCCACCCATTCTTTAGCTGTATTTTGCCATGGTGTTATGTGTCATTTTCCCCATATCCTGTTAAATCATATTAAAATACTTGCCTTTACTTAAATAGTCTGGTCTATTTGTTTAAAAAAAAAAAAAAAAAAAAAATATTTTTGGAAATAATTTTTCTAGATTAGCATTCATTCATTAGGCATTCATTAGATTAGCATTCGTTAGGCATTACATTTGTCAGAATTAAATAATATTGAATTTTTTATCATTTCACTGTTCTGCATATGAAAATGGACATTTTTTTTTTCATTACAAAAACATTTGTTTCTTAATACTTTGTTTAGTTTTTGGAAGACATATTTTGCTATATCAATGCAATAGTCATGCAGATTTCTGTCAAATTTTCTGTTATCTACCAAAACACCTCCTCAGATATTTAAACTTCCGTACTTGCTTGATTTTAACACCTCCAACTTGTAGTTTGCATCTTGGACTCTTCATCTTGTTATACATTGTTATTTTTACAATAGATGGTTAGTCTTTTCTTCCTGCTTTCCTTTACTACCTTGTCTGCTGTTTTCTTTTTGAGAGAAATATTCAAATTTAGGGATAAAAATAATAAATACAGGCTGTTTCAGAAAGAATGATATAACTTTGATAACTAATAACTTGACCAATTCTAATTCAAATGATCTCAAATTTTAACAGTATGTGTAGAAATAACTCAAAATTCTATATTTAATGTTTTATGCTTTTTTTCTCTTCAGGTATAGAAATGACATTCACTGGAAAAGAAAAGGCATTTTGTGTTTTGAACACAGTCGAACAAGACTGTCCAGCATGCATTTGCAAGAGAATTTGCTAAAAATGTACTGACTGCGATGTAAATTTGGACATGATACAAAAAGTTCGAAAAGGAAGGCTGTATGTAATGGGCAAAAAGATGACCACCAGTATTGGAAGAGATGGTTGAACATGTCGGGGAAGCATTTTTGCAAAGCCCCAGGAAAACCATGAGAAGAGTGAGTCTGGAAACCCAGATTCCTCCAATGATAGTTTGGCATATCACAAGGAAACCCTTGTGAATGAAACCCTACAAGTTGCAGCTAATTCATGGTTGAAAAACAGATGAAAATATTGAAAAACTTGTGAAATTGTTCATGAAATCCATATTTTTATTCAAATTTTGATGAATAAATCTTATTGTGCTCAATAATAAACCAGTTTAGTTTAATTAGCTAGACTATGTAGTTACTCAGATATTTCCATCTCAAATGATATCAAATTTTTTGAAACACCCTGTGTTGTAAAAACAAGTAATAGGAGTTAAAGAAACACAGATTTAATGAACAGGTAAATGGAAAGTCTATATTCTCACTTTTATAATTCAACTAATAAACTTTCAATAAAATTTCTTTCAGTATATCATATTTCCCAGAACCCTTAATTTAAAGAATGAATGCTGTAATTTATTCAGACATGTTTTGGGCATTATCAGTGCATATTCGAAAGTTAATTGGTTAGTTAGATTCATTGACTTGCTGCAGAGTAAAGTACCACAACTTGTCTAACTTAAAGAAAACTTCAAAATCAACTAGCTAGGTTTAGCGAGCTATCCACTAAGCTTTGCAAAATAACTAAACTTTGATTTTTTGATACAACAAAAAGTGGAATGACTTAAGTGAAGTACGAGCTGGATTAAAGTTTGTTCTTGTTAAGTTTTTAAATTTATCTTCTTAACTTTTCACAATTATGTCTAGATAACATGGTTGGGGATTGAGGATTATACTTAGCATCAAAAAAATATAAAAGAATTTATATTATTATAGAACAGAGAGAAAAATGAGAAAGATCAATTCCTTTGTAATTTTGTTTAGCACAATGAGAAAAGAAACAAACCAGAAAGATGGAATATAGAAAGATAAATAATAAAAATGCGTTTGTTACCTGAAAGACTTAAAAGGCACTCTGCGGTATACAATATTGGCCAGCCAGTACTGCACAGATTTGTTCCAGCTTCGCAGGGCCTCCTTCGTTGTTGGAGCTAACTCACAACCCCAAATGTACAGATTGTTTACACATTCAAAATTGTACTCAATATTACATTTGGGCTGAGATTTTCTAGAAGAAAAATAAGAAAAATTGTTTAAATTTATGTTTAATAGGAATTTAGTCTAGTTTTGTACAAGGTTAGTGTTACACTTGGTGAGTCTTGAGCTTAGTATACTTGCCAGTGTCTGTAAGATCACCTTGATCACAATATTGCAGGTACTTAAATGGTTATTTACTATCTTAGCTTGGCAAAAGTAGTTTGGTAGCACCCAGTTTGGATCAAGCTCATTACAGGAATAATGTTCTGTGACATGAGCTTACTGACCAGTGCTTTATGGATATTCAATTTGGCATTAGCTCAATTCCAAGTTTATTCACACTGCAAACATTTAAGGCTTACAAGAATCATCCTAAATTTAGCATATGTTGGAAAAAATAAAATGGAGTTTGTCTAGACTATGGCTCAAATCAAATTTTACCTTCAAGATAAAAAATGATTTTCAAGGTCAAATTTTATTTAATGTGTGTGTACTGAAAATTTCTTAGCTCAACACTTCCAAAAATCAGTATCTTTATGGTAATGGTAATATTAGTTGTTTCCTTATAAGGAAACATTTGACATTAATTGAGCAAACAGACAATATTACTTTTGGCTGAAATTCATAAAATCTTTCTATTAAGCAATTTTTTAGGAAAATAGTTTTCTCAAGTCCACTGTTATTGCTCTTTCCAGTACTGATGGGGGGATTCCTCTTAAACCTTTTTGTCTGCAGTCATCTTAATGTCAACATGTTGGTTATGTCTTTATTTTCTCTCAATTACATGTGATATTCATTTTATTTATTGTTGTTGAAAGTCTTTAAGTGAGATAGTTTCTTTTATTTAGTAGAGTTTTTCTTTGTTTGTGATTCTGCAGTGCTTGTCTTCAAGTTTTAAAGAAGGATGGTCCTCATTAAGACCTACATGCTTTATTCACTCAAAGCCATTTTTAACTATTGATTTTGGAAAATGGTTGTATATGGTGGTGTTATGAAAAGCATCAGAAAACTGATTTTGGAAAGTGGATAGAGCAGAGAACTTTTCAGCACCTTCTTGTGTGTGTGTGTGTGTGTGTGTGTGTGTGTGTGTGAGTGAGTGAGTGAGTGAGAGAGAGAGAGAGAGAATGCATGTAGACACACCCTCACTCTATAGTTTACCTGACTTTATCTACTTTTGTTTCCAAGACCAATATGTTTTAGATTACTCAGCGTATATATATATATTATATATACACGCACACACATACATACATACATACATATGTGTGTGATCAATGGACAGACTGTTTTGTTGTATCACAGCTCATCAGTGTGGCTAGACATGCAATTACTTTACGCCGGGATAAAAACTCAACCAATTTGACATCAGTTGGAGACTCTCACCCCTAGGCTATCAGTGCACGCTAGGAAGAAAGGGGATCTTTAACACATTGTATAAAAGATATATACATTACCGGCTACCAGAGAGTTCAATTCATAGCAAGGAAAGTTTCTTTATGAATATCTCAAGCTATTTCAATCCTTTGATGCCTTATATTAAGCAAATCTTTGTGCCAGACATTTTATTAAAAAAGGGAAATCCCATGTTTATCTGCTTAACTATCATCTGATATTACTCATCTTTCTGTACAATATAAAAAAAAATTAATATTAAATTTTATTCTAATTAAAATGCAAATATTCAGAACTAATTTGGGGGAACTTTACACAAATGTTACCCCTACTATACTCAATAGCTTTTCTCAAGACTTCCTATCTATGGTATTTAATGCCTTTTGTAAAAAACAAAATACTACAGATAAAATTTATGTATCAGTTGTTGTATATTAATTACTAAGAGTAGATTGCCACAAAATTGTACTAGTTAATAATCAAAAGAAGATCAAAATTTGAACAAAATCTTTATTATAAACTATAGACATCATATATATTCATAAAACAAAATTTAAAAAAAGAATCTACTCAAAAAAAAAAAAAAAAAATTCTGATGGTATGGTGCACATGTTTGCTAAATTTCCAAAATACATTGACAGTAACAAATTACTATTTGGGATTTTAAAGCTGTAAATTTCCAAAATACATTGACAGTAACAAATTACTATTTGGGATCCAGTAATTAAAGCTGTAAATAATTTTGTCCATATTAATGAAAAATATTTTGAATTTTGTCTTAAAAAAATGCAAAGAAACATCATGGAATTTCCACTGATTCTACTTGTATATTATAACAGTAATTTGTGGGAGATAATTTATATATTAATCACAAATATATAAATAAATATCATATATAATAAATATGAATATAAATTCATATATTAATCATCAAAATATTTTGTCATTCAGTTACCCCTATAAATGATTTTAATTACATAAAAATATAAAACACATTCTCTTAATAAGCAGATATATTTTTATGTAATTATATTAATGATTAAATATATACAAACAGGATTTATAGATTTGTACTTACACTTGGTGAAGTGCTTGCAGATCTGAGGGTCCCTGGCCACATTTGGGCTGACTGTTGGCTGGGTATGCCCCATAAGCTGCCATCATGCAGGAACATTCAGCTAGAATCCAGGCAATATACAAGCGCCAGCGGAAGACACAGAACATTGGCAGCATATAGAACAGTCGGAACCATAATGGTTTGTCATAAAATTCATCCGTTTTTACATACTGTGCAAGAAAGAATGAGAGGAATTATAATAAGGATTATAAAAATAAATTCAGAATATAATATTTCTAATGGATTGAAGTGTGTGTTTAAAATACATGATACAACCTGGAAACAATTTGAAGAAATTCAACTCAAGAAATTCAAAGTCATTGTCAATGAGTAAATGGAATCAAGTATTTTTTAAAAAAATCAAGTATTAAAAAAAAAATGTTTTAGTCATCAAAAGAATATGAATTTTTGTACTAAAATAAATACATATAATCCTGGATTGACAATAAAAGAAACATATGCCAGTGAGCAAGTTTGTGTACTGTGTGACAATTTCATTCACAATGACTGTGAGTAGATTATTCATGTATTCACACTCATCTATATCAACCTCACTATACAGCCTGGGTTTGGCTTAAGGCTAATACTCTACAATCTTATTTGCTAGAGTTAAGGATTTCATTCTGTCAGTCAATCTTCCTTATCTATGTTGTATTTTTATTTGTTAATTCTTTTTGTATCTGAAGAAGTCTTAGACAAAGCTTTTGAAATGTCCTCAGGAATGAAGAAGGTAAGTTATATGAAAAAAAAAATGACCTTCAGGACAGACAACTAACTCTTGCTTATAGAAACAATAACAGTTTATTTTTTATGGGCTACAGTTATGAGTTTAACACTTCCTAATTCCATAGGTGTTATGAACTATGGTCAGTTAGCAGGTGTCAGCATTATTCACAACATATCACAAAAGCAACAACAATGCTCTAGGCTGGTAATTATGAGATAGTTCAAAAATTCAATCAAGGAACTTTAGTCTCAGGTCAGGACCAAAAGTTTATCTGCAAGACTTGGTCCACAACTCTCCCATAGTCTGGAAATGAAAATGTCATAGGCTGGGGAAAATTTCTTCAGCTGACCAACTCTTTCAAGACAGTATTTTTTTAAGAGGTAATGGAATAGGTGGTGAAAAGTGATGATGACGTTAACTTGTAACAAACAGTTGCAACTGCACCAAGAACCATCGTCAGCTTGCTTTTATTATCACATTCCAACCTTCTCATATTTTGGCTTGTTCAAAACCTCCCTTCAGGTTCTTGTATACACACTGGTTGTAAAATATTACCACCACTCTCAGGGTGGGGTCATCCTGGCAGATTAACTAATTAGATCCCCTAAAATAATTATCATTATCTATATCTAGTTAAATATTTCCAGAATCCCCTTTTCTATCTATCCAAACAATTTCAAAACCTTCTGATTTCTTATAAATTACTGGCCATTCAACAGATGGTTGTGGCAGGGAATTATTAAATATCAACTATCAGCAATCCATCATTTTGTCCCCAAATAAATCTTTGTTCAACTTTAACTATCCAGTCTCACCTGGAATCAGTTTGATGGTGATTCTTGTTTTTTTTTCAATTCTGACACAAGAGTCTCACACTACACTTTTAAGATAATTGTTTTCTTTAAACTGATTTTTTTTTCTGAGATCCTCTCCTCAGATAAATAAGGTCAGTATCTTAACATTTAAATCTCATACTCTCTCAGCTTTTTGTCCAAAATTGCAAATTCCACTTTAAGTATCAAAAACAGACTTCATAGTACTTTTGATAAGATAGTGAAATCTAAATTACCTAGTTTGGCTATTACATTAACTTATCACGTTAATTCCCATTCCAGCTGTCACCAGACATAGATTCACTTACTTGTAAAATCCACACTAGTAACTGTTACATTGTGATTTCAGACTTTTCTGCAAAACTAATATTGCCACTGAAATGTCAAGAAAGATAATAATAAGAATGTAACCAAGAAGTTTATGGCAATCTCAAAAGTATTTTATTGATTGATTTGTTTTTTATGGCTTAACCTTTTACAGGTCATTTAAAACCAGAAAATATTTTTTAGATTGTAAGAATTTTTTGGAGATAATAATGATTTACTGATACAAGTCCTACTAATTAACCCATAGCTGGGGAGAGAAGAGGTGGATTCATACCATTCCAAGAATATTCGTGCATAAGTGAATATAATGAACACAACTTGAATTAGATCTCAGCTCTCCAACTTTAAATTCTGAGCCATTATCTATTACTTCAGCCCTAATAGAAGCACCATTACAGCATCTGGTATTCCCAAACAGTAACCCATACTCTGATCAGGCTTGATGTTGGCTAACTTCAGTGATTATACAAGAACCCATATTTCAACATGATATGACTGTAAGCCAATCTCAAAAGAGAATTTAAAGGACATTAGGATACACGATTTTTTTTTTGGTAATATTAAATGCATGGATACTTCACTAACGGGTTGTTTTTTTTCTCTTCTTATATATGTATACATACCATGATTAAATTTAATTCATAAATTATGTTCAATAACAATTCAATAATAACTAATAATAAAATAGAACAATTGAAACAATTATACTGAAATAAATTTATGTCAAAGAGAGAAGATTCATCTTTACTCTAGATCTTAGTAACGATAGCAGGGTTTCTTTTCTCTGCCTTTTCAAACTAAGAATTCTTAAAAAGAAGCACATCTCTCTGACATATCCAAATTACCAGTATCACTAATTCTTTTTTCTTTTATGTGCCGTTTCCCTTCAGGACATAAGTGATCATGGCCCGCCACATCTTCCTGTCCCTTGTAACACTTAATAAGTTTTGTGTTTTTGTTACGTCTCCTAAGCTCTATTCTACCATCAAGCCCATCAAGTATGTTACACACTGCTTTCCTTTATCCCTCAATCTGTCCTGTGAGTATCAGGTTTTCCAAACCCTCCATCCTCATTATGTTGCCCAGAAATTTCAACTGCCTCTTCCTGGTGTTAAACATAAGTTTCCTTTTTGTTTCCATTTTCTCTAAAACCTCGTCATTGCTCATAGGTTTGGTCCATGGTATCCTCAGAATCTTTCTGTAGAATCACATTCCTGTTGCTTTAAGTCTCTTCTTCATCTTTGAGGAGATTGTCCAGCATTCACTGTCATAGCATTAAAAAATTATGAATGGTTTGATTCAGATGCTGACTTTTTAGAAAGTGAAACCACAGACAGGAGGGAATCACTGTACATTGTTTCTATATATTTCTTGACAAATAGAGTTAAACATAATTGCATGTTTGGGTGAAATATACATTTCCATCCAAGTAAACCAAATATAGGTGCTGGTCTGATAAAATTATTTCAATTTTCTCCCCAGAATTGCTGCTTATTTGGTACCAACACACCTGTTATTTTTCAAGTAATTTTCTATGGGGAAAAAAAATTATTTTGCACCAAGAATCAAAGATCCCCCTGTGATGACTTTTGTGGCGTAATTGTGACAACGATTTCCAATCATCCACTGTTCACTGCACCTGTGAGGACATCCAAGATCGAGTGGATTTCTATATACACCCAACTTGCTATCTGCACAGGTTTGTCTTGTTGTCCATGATCACTTTCAACAAATAATACTAGTGATGACAAATGTCTATAAAGACACTGCTTGGAAGTTCACAACAATTTCTCACTTAGTCAGCTATCTTTTCCTTTGGCTGCTATCTCCCTAACTTCACTGGCCTCAGTGACTCCTGATTCCTCACTACCAGTCCTTCTGACACTGGCTGCTGGGTAGCTCTGACTCCTCTGCTCACCTACCTACTTCTCATGGATGGACCCACTTTTCTAGCTTCCTGCCCCTCTATGCTTATATGGATAATCCTGGAGTCCCACCAGCTCCATCCACTTGTCTTCCAGAAAACTTGGGACTACCCAAAGTCACATCGGTGGTCAAATCTTCAAAGGACCACTTTTATGACTATCTAAAATCATTGATAAAATTTCCCAATTCAAAAGCAGCTTTGAATCTCCCAAAGAAAAAGTTGCAGAAAAATATACAATTTTTGCATCATTCAAAACAGAAATAAATTTTGCATAAAGCGTACACAATAAAATTTATTTATATTGTTTTATTAGAAACATTATGGAATGAATAACACTTTAACTATCAGTCTTAAACTTATTTTTGCCAGTGTAGATCATTTGATGGGTAAAGGAAAGACATATATGGGAATTAGCAGTGTCTGACTGAGTATTGTTTGAAGGTGTTACTATTATTGTATCTGTGATTTACAAAGTCTCTCTTACAAATGGGCATTACAAAAAAAATCAACCAGATTCTTTCTACTAGGGAGATTGGTACAACATAATCTTCCTGGCTCTTAACAAACCAAACTTTTGAACATAGGGTCCACAGAAAACAGGGAATTATCAGGGAATTGAAAAAAAATAGTCACATGTTTTTAAAGAAAAAAATCAGGGAATTATCAGAGAATTTTGCTTTAATGTCAGGAAAATTGACATGCATTGAATGACATGTTTATTATATGCTTTTTTAGATTGAAAATAATTTTGTACTAGCCAGAGTGAGAGCCTATAGCTGGCTGCTATGAATAGGCAGGAAAATTCTATTGGCCAGCGTGAGAGCCAACAGCTGACTCACACAAATGTTAACTAGCATGCAAACAAAAAAATCGATAGCTGCATTCGTCACAAGTGGGAAAAATTTAAATCTGCAAGCCACTTTACTCCAATTGGCTCATTCGCTTGCTTAAATTCAACTTTGATTCTGATTCTGCAGAACTGGGTTGAGTGTGAAAAAGTATTTGTTGTTAACATTCTTTTTTCATTCAGTTTTTCCAGTTATGAGTCCTTTTTTAAAGCTGATTGTTTTGTATTCATTTTGTTAACTTCTTTTTTCGTAACAGATTTAATGTTTAGTATAGAACTTAGAAAAAATTCGCAGTATGAGATAGGCAAAAAGTAAGGCATGTAGCAACATCAGCATGGCAAAGGGCACTCCTTTAAAGGCAAGGAAGGGCAAAAATATTTTAAGTCAAGTGATAGCGATTGCTGTATGAGTCGTGATTTTGAATCAAGCACCAGGCTCGCTGGGCCAAGCTGCTAGTATATATATATATATATATATATATATATTTATTCTCTTGGATTAGTAAAATTTGAATAAAAATGTTTGTTTATTCATCTTTTTTTTAGCTATGTTCTGACACAGCTATATACTAACTACTGTCAGTTGTGCAATGTCCCAAAATCAAGGAATTTCAATGGAATTTTTCAGGGAATTATCAAGGTATTATTCAGGAATTATATTTGATTAAGCTGGGAACCCTGTAAATATTTCTACAATTAAGGCATTATTGATATGCCATGTTAAAGGAAGACTATAGAAATTCTTAACTATTTACTAATGGCCATACTTTCCTTCAATTTTTTTCCTCTAACAAATAAAATCTGCAATACCTATTCAGAAACAATAACAAAGGAAAGGACAAGTAGCAAATGGCAAGGAAAAAATGTTTGAGTTACTCACATTGATACTAAAAAAATATGACATTGTGAAGTAGCCAGCAGCAATGATTGGAACATTTGCCAATCTCCGAAGCATGGGACCAACCGTGTTGATGTACTGTGTATCTGGTTCATGTAGCATATCATAGTAAGATCGGTATTTCATATAAGGGCCTGTTTTTAAAAAAGAGAAAGACAAATATGAATTATTTTCCTATCTGTGTTTTGTTTTATGATCGGATTTCAAGACAATTATTAAAACAAAAGATATGGTCTATGATTTTGAGAAGTCATTATCATTCCAAGAGTTCTTTGGATTGTGAAAAGCATTCTGATTTAATAGAATATAGGCCATAAGGAATAGAACCAATTATACAAAAAGACTCAAATATTTGTAAAATTTAGTATTTTTAATAAAAAAACCTTATAAACCAAATGACTTACCGGAATCTAAATTATTGCTTACAATATATTCTGTTTAAATCGATTCCAGTGTGTGTGTGTGTGTGTGTTTGTATATACACACAAGTTTGGTTAAATAATTTAGACATACTATGTCTGTTTATTTTTGTTTTAATCCTTTTGAGCCCACAAATCAATTTCTTGGTAGCCATAGAAAATTGATTAAGGAAAATACCAAAATTTTCTTTAAAATAATTTTTATTTTCCCAAGTACTTTCAATCTCATCTGAGACCATCTTCAGGGTGTTAAATTGTCTGTGTATGCATATTTCTGTAAATTCAAAACATTTGCACTTTTACTGTTGGTTTTATTGCATTTTTTATCATTCTATATCAATTTCAAATTCATAAGCCCCCCCCCACCCCCACAAGGATGGCAACTTTTGTATTTCTTAATTTATTATTATTATTATTATTATTATTTATATAAACTTTGCTGCTATAAACATTTTAGAGCTTTATTGCTATATTCATAGTTGACTTTATTTTTAGCTTTAATTTGCTTATAGTAAGGACTTCTAGGATTTTAAGCTTATTATTATTTTGACATAATATAGATGTATTTTCAACTAATATCTGTCTAAACTGTGAATGTGGACATGAGTATTCCTTTAAATCTTTTAGCAATGTTTGTCAATTTACCATCTCTCTCTCTCACTCCCCATTCTGCTATCCATTCACATAAGCTCACCAGGTAAGCGGCCCACTGACTCCTTCAGTCTCTTTTGCCTCCGATTTGTCTCATGAGTTGACAGATTTTCAGGGAAACTTGAATGTGGCTTTCAAATACATCACAGCTACTGAAGTAACAACTGTGATGCCTAACTCTGTTCACATCCACTATCTGGTCATCCTAAACATTCAAGCAAATGTTGATGAATGACAATAGGTGAAATTTTTTCATGGATGGATTCAAAATACATCTCTGCTTCATATGAATTCTCAAGTCAGAAACAATTTTGACAGACTACTGTAATTAACAATGCAAAAAATCAAAATTAAAAAGTAGTCATTGGCAGGAACATTCAAGCTCTACTGCCATATTAGCAAAATCAGTCTCTGATGTAGCTGGCTAATATAATAAGTCATTGCTTTCCAAATGACTTTTATATTTTATTCTTTTATATATATGTATATGCGCAGACACTTAAAGACCGAGTGGTTGAATTTTAAGCCAAAGAATTCAATATATAGACATAGTGCGACATCAGAATGTTGGCAAATGTTTATAAACTTTATCCTTCTTTAAAAACAAACTTGGCTCAAGTCAGAAAGACATCCACAATGTGTGTCAGCTGGTTGTAAAATGACCCTGACACTTTGATAAGCAAAACACACACATAAATCAATTTGTAGCAAAACAGTTTTGACTAAAGTCCAAGAAAATAAAAATCAAATTACATAGATGAGTAATTTAATCCTGAATGATCAAAGAAAAATTTTAAAGTTTCCAACATCTGAATTTTATCTTTTTTAAAATTTTTAAGGCCGGGATGAAACTGGATTAAGAAATTAAACAATTATCAATTTATTACTATTGATGATGAAAGTGAGGAGTATAGTGATGATATACAGTAAATTAACTAAGACAAAAATAGGATTGAAGGCACAATGATCTACTTGGATTTCTGCCAACAATTGGGGTCTGGTCAAGCAGACATGCCACAATCAGAAGCTGTGCTAGAGAGCAGAAAAATAAAATTCTATGGATCTTTGAAATTCAAACAAAACAGCCAATCCAAATCAGATCAAGCCATTGTGAACAAAGAAAAAAAAAACCCTAAAAGTTGGAAAAAGATCTAAAACTTTACTATAAAAAAAAAAAAAGTAATAAAATATGAAGCAGATAACTGATATCCATTATTATTGGAGTATTTAGGACCTAGGCAAATAGAATTAAAATATCTATTATTTCTTCTTGAATGAATGGGTGGGATATCGAATAAGATATTGAAGAGGGGTTTCAATTTCCAAAAATTTAATAAAGTGTGGTGATGTTAAATAAAGCTACTTTTTTGTTGTTTTAAAGAGAGAAAAAAAAATGGTTGGGATTTGTATGCACAGTCAAGATCAATAAACATTAATTTTTCATGATATGTATTGTTTGCTGTCATTAAATTTTAATCAATAGAGTGTGGGGTTGAAATAAAGTTTACTTTCTCTAAATTTATAAAATTTTAATAAGTGTTCCCACGCTGTTTATTTGAGAGTTCAGAATAAAAACCCAATGAAGAATCAAAACCATACAGATGACAACATTAGCAAAATCATCTGGTTTATTGAGGAAAGTTGCTGCCAATTGATTTCCAGTGAAAGCCTCCAGATATTAATACACAATGAAAATCCATATAATCATATCTAATAATGAACAGTCACTTTTTCTGCATGTTTCTGTTTCTATGGCCATAACTTCAGTCACACTAAAGTAAACGGATATAAAATTAACAATTTGGTCCTGTCTGAATTCAAACATCTGGATTGGATCTAAGCAGGCAAATGACATATCTACTATGTAAATATAATGCTGCTTAAACAGCATAGTAAAATTAATTTGAAAATATTAAGCAGAACATACAGATATTACACTGATTGTAAGTATAGAGAGACAGAGAAATAGTTTAATCCTAGGCAAAGCAAAGTCTGATCCTTGGCAGAAATTCCAATCCATACGTAAATAATCCCATCACTTTTGACAGGTCCCATGCTTGCACTAATAAAGAATACAGAGGAGAGTACTAGGAACATTGGAGCTTCTAAATCCTTCTGACATGAAATCTTAAGAAACAATAAGAAAACATTACTTTTCTTAAATTTTTCATATCAGAAGTATTTAGAGTACTGTTGGGGATTGGTGATAATTTTGAGGGAGATGCTGTATATTTGAGGAACCTTGTTACTCCAGTAACTTACCTGGTGTCTCTACACCAGAGAAGTTGAAATTAATATCAGCTCAAACCCCCGGCAGCCATCCTCCATGGTAGCACTTTTCCTTTGAGAGGAGACTGGGGGGGGTCATTACCCAGTGACTGAAGGGTTCCCAAAAGGGGAAATGCAGAGTGGAATGCAACAATTTTGTACAGCTTTTCAGAAATCCCACATTAAACTCTGACCTTGTATCACATTCTGTTGCAATATGAGCATGCAGGTACATAGCTACTCAGTTTCAAGTGACCACCACAAATCAAATGTATAAATACTAAGAAGAAACATCATTCAAAAAGAAACTGATTAAAAATAAAAAATCACCCAGTCCACAATGGGAATATCAAAGTTTAGTTTATTCTATTTCTTGAATATGTCCTATTTGCATGAAGGAGAACCTGTTTTGTTCTCTCCAAACTTATACTATCAAATCCCTTTATCAATAAACTTGTGAGCATTTATATACTCAGAATGATATCAGAAAGAGCAATACAAACGCAAACGGATGTATATCCATGTTTTATAGATTATATTTCTTTTTAATATTTCATTAGAAGCAAGACAATAAAGCCACAAGATGCAGGGGCGGGGGGGTTACCAAGTGTGAGAGAATATGAGAAAAAGAAAACATTATTAAGGAGAAAGAACAATAAAAAAAACAGGAATTAAGAAAACAGAAGATAATGATTGACATTGCCTTAAAACTTTTGAAGATCAAAGTTAACTGGAAAACAAGAAGCCAGAAGTAAGTTCCACAAGCAAAAAGAGTTAGAGAAGAAACTGTTAGCATAGAGCTTACGGTTACATCTAGTAATTTCAACTATAAAATGAGAAGACCTTATCAGTAATCTAGGTATAGGTACAAAAAAGCTCATCAGAACAATTACCTTGAAAATTGTTATAGAAAAAGGCACTAGCAAGCTAAATTATGGTAGTAGGAAAGTAACTGAAGCTGAGATATCAGATCAGGACCATTAACATTGCACCTTCTTGGTTTTACATATTCTATTGACAAAGTGAAAAGATTATATTGAATCAATTACTACATCTGCTGCTAGGAAAGTTGGTTCACCGTGACATACCAGATAATTTTACTTATCAGAATCTATCTTGCTCATTTATAAATCTACCATTAATTTTTTTTATGTATTGAATATTGCCACTATATCTGGTTTGATTCTATGGCTATATATCTTGAGATTCTCAAAGAAATCCAAAGGAGGATGTGTAATGTTAACAGTGCTGACCTGGCATCAGACACTTTCCCACTGCCATGATGTGGTTTCATTTTCTCAATTCTATAAATATTTTCATAACAATTGTTTTAATGATATCACCTTCTTGGTAGCTCAACTGCATGAATGTGAATGCAGTACTAGATTGATAACTAGGTCTCACCATTTTACTGTTGAAATAGCTAGATGCAACCATTCTTATAGTTTCTTTTCTCACACTTTCCACATATGGAAATCTCTTCTGGTTTCTTGCTTCTCTGTCAGCTACAATCTTCAAAAATTTCAACACAATGTCAATCACAATCTTCTATCTTCCCAAATCCTGTTATTTTATTGTCTGTTCTCCTCACTAAAGTCTTATTCTCTTTCACTCCCAGCAATCCCTTGTGTCTTTGTGGCATTATGACCTTGTTTGGGGTGAAATGATGAAAAAAAAAAAAAAAATTATATATATCTCACTACTACCACTATTTCTATGGCATATTTTCATAGTGCTACATTTCTTAGTTTCACCAGTTCAGACCTTTACAGCTAGGACTCACCATGCCATGTACAAAAAGTTGAATCATCTTTAATCATTAAGAAATAATTTCCGCAGCATCTTCCCAAGAACCAGTATTTTGTGGAAGAGACTCCTGAGAGCATGCTTCCTCAATCACTATAATCTTAAACTCTTCAAGTCTAGGGTCAATCATTATCCTAGATATCTCAATCTGCAGTTAATTCCATGCAACAACCTCATTCAGTAACCCTCTATCTTAAGTGGCTCTTAGGATTTGTAATGGGCAAAGAAAAAAATCCAAAGAATCAAAAATACCAAGATGAGGCCCATCTCATGTTTTGCAGCATCCTGCCCAAAGAAAAAGACATGGTGTCATGTTTCTCCTGAAGACTTAGAAAGAGTAAGCATATACTATACTTTGATCTTCGGTAGAAGTGCTAAGAAGTCAAAATTTGATCTTAAGCACAATGAACAGATACTCTGATTGGAGGAAAAGTACTGATCCATACATATATCTTATGTTTTTGCAAATACTCATTATTTTGTAAGTAAAAATAATTCTTTTTATCTTCTATACTAAAATATCTTAAACTAGTAAATTATTTAACATAACACAATTTAAGTTTTTTTTATAAGCTTAACTTTTTTGCAGATAATGTAACATCTGCTTTCCTACAAGACGGTTAAAACTAGATTTAGGGTGAAGGTTTTGTGCAATCAGGTGAATATCTTCAACTGAACTACTATTATTTTTATATGCCATGTCAATTCAGGATGTAAGTGAACATGGCTCTCCACAACATCCTATACTTTGTAGCTCTTAGTATCTTTTTACTATTCTTCCCATTTATTGTTCTTCCATCTATTTATACAAACTTGTTAGATATGTTATTTTCTGTCTCTCTTGCCTTCAGTATGTTCTGTGTCAAATTCTCCAAGCCCTCTTTCCTTATTATGTATCCTTGAAATTTTGATTTTTTTTTATTCCAAGTATATGTAATGTTTGTTTCCATTTTCTTTAAAACTTCCTTGTAAGTCACATGCTCCATTCATGGTATTCTCAGCATTTTTCAGTAGAACTACATCTGTTGTCTCAAATCTCCTCTTCATCTTTGAGAAATTTGTCCAGCAATTACAACCATATAGAATGACTATTACATAGCCGTTCAGCACTCTTTTTCTTTGTTTCTAATGAGATTTTTTCTGTTTCTTAGCTTCTGGAAGGCATCTTTCACTATTCAAATGCATCTTCAGATTTCAGTATCACATTTTCCATTTTAAAATACTTCCCCAGATATTTAAATTTCTGTACTGGTTTGATTCTAATATCTCCAGCTTACATCTTGGGCTGTTCTTCCTACTGACAACCATACATTCTGTCTTTTTCATCTGAACTGTTGGTCAGTTCAAAGACAGTCTAAGCAAAGTTTAGTTAGCAAAAGAGATACTCATTAGTTACTAAGGTAGCTTAACCTGGCACAAGCTCACAGTAGAAGAGCACCCAGTGGGGATTGTAAGCAGTATATGAGCAAATGAATGAGGAAGACAATTATCTGTCTATATTTCTGAAATGAGGTATTGTAACTATTTACACTATTTACTTTGTTCAGACCAGTGGATAAAAGTGTTGGCTGAAGTGACTTGACCCAAAGAGTTGTGAGTTCAATACCTGGCCACAGCAGAAGTGAGCAAAAACTTGGAGAGTTGAGTTACTAAAGGGAATTAACTGAAACTGAGATATCCAGAAAAGGAATGGAACTAGAACAATCTACCCCAGTGAACTAAATAAAGGGTTCAGTCCGAAATTTCAACATATATCACCTGAAGAAGGCCAGGGCGTACAACGACCGAAACAAAGTCCGAACAATGTAAATAATGTAAATGAAGACAATTATATTAAGACACACTTTTCAAAGGTAATGCTGACTTTCAAATTTTTCTTTTATTTATTAATTTGTTCTTTTTTTAACAATTCCAAAAGTTGACACTTACCTGCCAGCAGGCCCATATAACAATAAGCGTAAGAGAAAATATCAAGAACACTGGGGTTGATATTTTGATAGAGTTTAAGTAATGTTTCATCCACCTCTCCTTTCCTTAATGGGTATTTTGTGTCATGGATCTCAAATGCTAAGCCAATCATCTGGAAATAAAAGTTCAAAATAATAACAATCAATAATCAGAAAATCAATAATTAGACAGAAGTCAGAATGATTTGACAAAACAGTTTAAGAAATTGCATATAAAAATTTGATTATATTTTTAAAGGAAATTAAGGTAAATACATTAACTGCATAGTAATTCTTTTGTTTTTATATATATTTAATAAAAATAGAAAACCTAGCAGATTTGCATGCAAGGTGTAATTACAGTAGGTTTTTATAAGGAAGAAGTTGCTAGCCCCACACCTAACCAGTTTTCAATTCATAGTTGTCCTTCTAGACAAATTGCCAACTAAAGCTAAAGAGCTCAGCCTGCCTTGCTATTAATCCCTAGCTGGTGTGAGAAAAGATGGAGTTATACATTTCTCAAAGGCATCAGTATGAAAACTAATGTAATGGTCTTGGCTGAAATTCAAATTCGGCATGTCAATCCCACTTTTTATGCCAATAACCGCTACACTACAAGCATATCCCACGAGCAAACATAAAAATAAAATTTTGTTTATCAGTATCAATCTATCCCAAAAGTGTGGATCTTGAAAATTTGATATAAATAATAATAATTATATATAAAAGTAAAATTTTGTTTATCAGTGTCAATCTATCCCAAAAGTATGGATCTTGAAAATTTGGACAAATCTTATATTTACTATCCACCAATCTATATACACTCACAAGGGAAAAAGAATGAATTATTATATAAAAGTGAGTGGTGATTTGGTTGGATTTGTCACAATAAAGCAGATATATAAAATTAAATGAACTCCCCTCTGATTCAAACCTTCAAAGAAGAGATCAGTTGGCCAGCAACATACCAATACAATATTATACTGGTGCTAAAATATTCAGGTAAAATTAGCCTTAGAATACTAATTTAAGTTTTCTTCATTTATTTTTTCTCATTTATCTTTATTTCTGTGAGTCATATTTATTTATTTCACATATTTATTCTCCAAAATCTATCTTAGCCTTGATCTAATTTCCTCTGGTGATTTCACAGTTAAAAGGTCACTTCCTCTAGTAAGGTTATTAAATCCAAAAAAGGTATTTGCTTGTTAATTTTAAACCCAAGGCATTTCTTAAGCACCACTTCCTCAAACTTATCTACTGATACGGAAAAATTGTTTATCTGTAACTGTTTCTATTATTTAAGTTCTGTAACATGAAGCATCACTGGAAACTAACGAAGTTGAAAGAGAAAGCATGTATCAGCTTGTCTGGATAGTATGGATTTCAACATGCGTATTTTTCTTTACTAAGCAAAGTAGGTATGAAAGGAACTTTGTGTATAATCAGAAATCTTCCAAGTACTTGGTATAGTTATATCTGTGTATCAAGGACTATTGAAATGAATTGATCTAGTTAACATGTTAATGACGACATTTCTTATTTGTAACTCACAAAAAAGTGAACCAGCACTCATCACCTCTCTTAACTCCAACTTGATTTTCACCTATAATCCAGTTTATACTGAATGCAATTTACAAACACTTTTCAATTATTTACAATTCACACACTCCAACCCCAGAGTGTGTCTCCCCATGGTACAATGGTTAGTAAGATGTTTTTACTAATCATTACTAATGAATTTAGATTTCAATCTCAATGCTTACTGCCACCCACCAAAAGTAAAATTAGTAAATATTTCAATTCAATAGACAAATAAAAAAAATTGAGTAACTATTTCAAAAGTCGTACTTTGTTAAATTCAGACCAATTGTTTTTATATCATCTTTATTACATTTTCAATACTTTAAACTCAAACCTTCTTTAGACATCTAAGAGTTGACAAGCCGTAAAAAAGGAATCAATCAATTCTTTAGACATCTGTTGTATTTTAGAATATAAAACCTTGTTCCAACAAATCACACCCTTCTCTCAAATATATCACATCTATAACCATCAAGCTTTAGATACTTTCCATTGTCACACGTATAACAAAAGAAATAAGATAAAGAGAAGTAAAGTGAACAACAAAAACAAATTAATTTTGTTATCTTAAACAAAAGACATTTTATTTTAATTTTGATGATTTGGTCAGTGGCTAAAAAGTAAAAAACAAAGGCTTATTGGCAAGAAGTTAAAAAGATTTCAAAGATAACTTCAGTCAGGAGTTGGTGAGTTTTTGTAGTATAGTTTACATGTCAGATCAGTGAATGATAGTAAACACACTGCTCTGAAGCAGATTTCTACAACAACTGACTTTGCCAGCCAACTCGCTTAATTTTGATGCCAAACAATAACAGATGAAAGACATTTACTTGTAAGGTCATCTGACAACATAAAGAGTTCTTTGAAGTCTTTTATCTAAATTACCCAGAACTTTGAGAAGTTTCATTCATAAAAAATATATTCTCTTAACACTTCTTCTGACTTATGTATCGAATTTATTAATTTTTAGCAACACTAACATTATTTGGGTATTCATTTTGAAAACTGAAATTCATCATTTGTTTTTTTTTGATTGGTGGTTCCCTATATGCAACAAACGGGATAATTTGAGGAAAGGACATGTACTGAATCTTTCAATTATCTTATTCTTCAGTACTGTACTGCATCTATTTTGGTCTCATTCCATAGAAGCTGGTGTAAACCTCTTCCCATTCACGCATGATCAGCCCTACCTAATTTCAAAGTTTCTCTATAGATAACATAAAAAGTATGAGTGCTAGTGACCCTTCTAACTACCGTCCTATCAATCTCCTACCCCTCTTTGGCAAAGTCTTCGAAGCCCTAATCAATACCGAGGTGGCTAACCACCTCACATCCCATGATCTGCTCTCAGACAAGCAATATGGCTTCCGCTTTGACCAATCTACAACTGATGTGCTTACGGCCATCACTGAAACTGTCTACCAAGCTCTTCAAAATAATGAGGAAGCTTGTGCCGTGGCCCTAGACATCTCAAAGCATTTGATAGGGTTTGGCATGCCGCCTTCTTCATAGCTCAGGGTCATGGCATTACAGGTTGATTGTTTGACCTAATACAATCATTCCTGTCAAACCGTGAATTGAAGATCGTTCTCAACGGATTCTCCTCCAGTTCTATCCCACGAATGCAGGTGTTCCTCAAAGGCTCCATCCTAGGCCCCACTCTATTCCTTATCTACATAAATGACCTTCCTGACGCCATAAATTCCCAAGTTGGCATCTACGCGGATGACACCACAATTTACTCCTGCCGCCTCAAAAACAAATCTAGTGTCGCTGACAAAACTAACCTGGCCGTGTGTCTTGAAAAGGAGCTCCAATTGGTTGTGAACTTGGGCAAGAATTGGCTGGTCAACTTTAGTGCTTCAAAAACAAAACTGCTCTCTATTAATCACCACAGAGATCCTTCCCTGCCCCCCATTAGAATGTCTGACGCTCAACTTCTCGAGAGTAACTCTCTGCAGCTGCTCAGTCTCACGTTGATGGCTGACCTGAGATGGAACAAATACATTGAGTCAATTGCTTCGTCCACCACAAGGAAAGTTGGCTCCCTGTGCCGCGCTAGGAAATTTTTCTCCCTGGAATCGATCCTCCAGATCTACAAATCAACAATTCACCCTTGCATGGAGTATTGCTGCCATATATGGTCTGGAGCCCCTTCTGTTTGCCTCGGGGTTCTTGATAGGCTCCAGAGGCGGATATGCAATATAATTGGCCCTACTCTGGCATCTCGTCTACAGTCACTTTCTCACAGACGCATCGTCACCTCTCTCTGTCTGTTTTACAAATACTTTCATGGCAATTGCTCCGAGGAGCTGCATTTGCTGGTTCCCAGACTTCAGGAGTTCAAGTGCTCTACGAGGCTGGCATCCCGCTCTCACCCCTTCACTGTCGAAACTCCTAAATGTGGCCGTCTCTTCTACTCCAATAGCTCTCACCTGTGGAACTCCCTTCCCTATTCCAGTTTCCCTGAGCGCTATAATCTCCAGCTATTCAAGTGTAATGTCAATCGACATCTCCAATTGCCTTGATCTATCCATTACCCTTCTCCTCATCCTTTCTTCTATCACTCCTATCTGATCAAATTTTCTGTAACCCCTTGCATCCTAGTGGCTTCCCACCTTGCTTGGGGTGAAACACTTAAAAAAAAAAAAAAAAAAAAAAAAAAAAAAGAACCTCTTTGATCAGTTGCTATATGGACTTTGTATGGGCATGAAGCCTCTCTGAATTAAATAGACAGCCACATGTTGAAAAAGCATAATGTATATACAGTTCTTATCTTCAGTAATGTGTGCCAGCTTAACATTGAGTACAGAGAATAGTGTTGCATTGAGGATAAAACCCTGCTCCACATAGTTAAAAGTCACTACCAAATCTGACTTAACTGAGCTATACTGTATGATTATCATGAGTAACTGGTGGACAACCAAACCTAAGATTTTCTGTAGTCTCACTTTCATTACAATTTTGAATATCAAGACAGCAGAGATAATAACTCAGACATATTTTGATTAAATCTTATATATTTTTAATTTATTTGTTTAAACATTATTTTTAAATGGATACTCATATTTGAGGAGATGCTCTTTTATATTAAACAGTATATTTATTTAAATCTACTGGTCTGAATACTCAATAAATTTTGTTAGAAAAATGTGTCCTTCAGCAGGATTTGAACCTGTGTTCTCCTAGGGGAAACTATCGTTAGATCTAGCATACATTATTCAGGCTTTGCTTGATCAGGAGGTCCTACATGGTCAAGTGGTCTAAGGTATGTCAGATCTAATGACAGTTCCTCCTAAGGGACACAGGTTCAAATCCTTCCGGCAGGTGCATATTTTTCTAACAAGATTTCTCAAATATTCAGATGTAAATAAATAAATAAATATACTGTTTAATAAATAAATAAAAACAGAGCATCTACTCAAATATGAATATCCATTAAAAATAACATTTAAACAAATAAATTCAAAGACATGCAAATATCTACAACAGATTAACTCTTATTTATTCATGGCATGTAATGTTATGTTTTCAAATTCCTAAAATT